CTAGAGTACTGATCACCAGCAACACAACCATAGTGCCAGTGCCCTGCGGAAGTTATAAAGTGTGGAATGGGATTCGTGAGGCGGTTGACTCGTCGAGGTCGAAATTTTCATAGAAAAGGTTAACTAACCTACCAGTTAACTAGTTGCTCTTTATGAAACATATAATAATGTGCATCTGCCCTTAGCACCTAACAATATTTCCCATCATTCTCGCCAAGTGGGTAATGACAAAACAATTGAGGAAACCTTACAAAAATTAAAGATTACTTGACACCCTGGCCTCGGTTTTGCATTTTTTTGTAATCTTTTTTTAAAATTATGGCCATTATTGTCGAAAAAGGATCTCTAGAATTTCTTTTATTAGATACGACGAAAATGGAAGGTTTTGAGAGGTTTTAAAAATTTTCAAGTTTTTTAAGTTGTCTACTCAAATTATCAAAAGTTAAAAGAGTTTGATACTACATTAAAGAAAAGGAGAGATAAGATGATAGGACATGAAGGGCTAGTTAGAAACATATCAGAAGCTGAATCAGGATTAGAATGTTCGCAGATAGTTAGTAGCGAGGAATACGAAGACTGACTTAAGGATGTTTGGGAGATACAATCGGAGACAAGAGTACATAAAATTAGAAATTCGTGATTAATTGGGTTTTGCAGTATATCATGAGGTAAATGAATACTATCTATACTAAAAAAAGTATACGGTTTGAGAGAAAATTTGGAATTTGTCCAAAAACTTTGAATAAAATAAGAAAAACGAACAATATGGAAAACTTTTAACTAACTGGCTTTTGCCTTGATTTCAACTTCAAAACAAAAAAATATTTAGTTTCAATCTTTATTAATAATGAGCGTAAAACTTTTTAATATGTTTAAATAGTAATTAAAACTTTAAAATTGCATTTATTTCAGACAGTTATAAATATTATCATTATACTATCAAGTAAAAACGAGATTTTCAGCTAATTTTTCATTTTATTCTCGATAACAATTTAGTGAATTTGAATAACCTTATGCTAAAGTGATTCTTCAGAGTTCAAGTTACGTATTATAAAAGTTTGAAATTTCTGGTAGCTTTTTTTCTGTTAATAAAAATAAATTTAATCTGTTCGGTTAACGAATCTCCATAAAATGACGTGTAAAATTACAATTTTTTAAAATTTCAATAAATTTTTAACAGTTTAGTGAATCGATTTGTAATTTTTACAGGAGTTTTAGAATTGAATGAGGAACGTTCTTCCAAATTTTTATTTGTCTCGTAGCATTTTAACATACTTCCCGAACATCCTTAAGATGAAAATGCGAGTTCAACATATCTTCGAGTTGATGGCTTTGTGATGATGATGATCAAAATTAAACCATAGAATTCTGGACTATTTAGACAATGGTTACTCAAAAATATTCAAATTCCTTATTTGCTTTATTAGTGTTTTTTCAAATAGATAACAGATAGATTTCTATTTCATATTTGATTCCTTCCATTAAACTGCCCGTCTTTGTCAGTTTTTTTTCCAGAATTTCTACAATCGGATCATCGTACCTACTTAATTTTGCGGTATTATGCTCCTTAAATTAACTATTCTGGTTCACTTTCTCCAAAACAATTTTACGCCGAACAATAAAGAGATCCAATTTCATCAAGTCATCGACCTCCTTCAACTAATTACATATATCTAAATGTATATACCGCCTTATTAGATTTAGTTAGTCTTTGCCATATTGTACATTCATTCGGAAGTCTCTTATAAATATTCAAGTGCACTGTGGATTTTTCGTTCATGGTTTTATACGTTTTTTCCAAGAATGAGTCTACTATAAACACCATTACACTTAGAAGAACACTGTTATGCAATTTGGTAATGAAAGATATTGTACGAACATATATTACGTAGACAAACGGCAAATTTAATGGTGCTTTCAAGAGAGTGCTACAAGCTTCTCAGGTCGGGCTTTTATCGCTCCCATTTGACGCCAGTATTTTGTTTCATTGTCAGTAATTTCAATATGGCCATCTGTTATTAGTTTTTATTTCGCATAATAATATTACCACATGTTTTGACCGATTTTTTTCCATCAATGCAGTTATTTGTTTCATTCTAAACAAACGACAAACGTTGAATCAGTTACTTCACTTACGATCTTCCTCGCCGATTAGTTTAAAACAGATATTTTTAAAAATAATTTCCACCCTTATTATTAATCGTCCTTTTTGATCAGTGTGCTACGTTTTCGGGATGAATGACGTCACAGGATTTGCGAGAAATCGATCTGACTACTATACCTACTACACTGTTCACAATGGCATCCATGGGGATACAGGGAGGGTGTACCCCCTGCAATAATGAGAGACGCAAGCAGAGCCATTAGAACAGCATCGTTTATACCATGCATAACGTAATAACATGCAAAACTAGAAGGGTGTGACGTCAGTCAACACGTGTCCTAATAAAAAAAGACGCTTGCTGTATGAATACGATATGGCATAGGAGTAAAATGAACAAAGCGAGCTTTATACCGAAACGAACAGCACAAATTGTTCTAGCAGGAAAACCGGGTCATACCGGGTAAAATATTGATCTGATTAGAAGCACGAAATTAGAACATTTTCGAAATTGACCGAAAAAGGACTTGATAAGGTACAGAATCCTACAATTTACAGTTATTTTTAAGTGTGTTTAAAAGAAATTTGTTCACGTAATGCATATTTACCTTGTGAGACCGGCCACTAAATACGTTGAAGAAAGTGTACAACGAGGTTTCCCGAGAGTGGGTTAATTCACGGTAATACAAATAAATCAGAGAGATAATTCTAATGGCTAAGCACTTTCTAACTGGACTTCTCATAATATAAAGTCGTGAGAACAAGTAATTTAATCTGAAAGATTCACATTGCGAATCGTCGTCTACTAAAATGACGTCATACTGCAACAGTACAGTTTAATAAATGATATTACAGTAGACGGCATATAGCCGAAAAAGCAACAGTTACGTACATAACCGATTTGTTCATGTTAACGAATATTACATAAATATGTGATACATATCCATAATTAACCAAATAGACATTAATACACTGGTACTCATTGAACATAAACGGCAAAAAATTGACTTTTGTGCCAAATGGGCATTCGTTTCTATAACCGAAAGTTTAGTTTGTTCTTGATGGTCTACACATGGACTAATATGTTGTTCACACTATCGAGTGTCCATTGTAACAGCAATTTATTAACAAAACACCGATTTTTCACTATAAATAGTGATTGTATTGTTTCGCAAATTGACTTTTTAATACATTAGTCACTTATTATTTTTTAAAATGAACTATTACTTGCCACTTCTCTACATTTCTTTTTGTCCACCTTAGTTTGCACCCTTATCTTCAAAGTATTTCGCTGCTACCCCCCTGTAGGCCCTTATTAAGGTTGTTTATACCCTAATTTCATTATAGAACCACGGTATAATACCAGCCCTGAATTTACCATCGCCGTTAATAAAAGTAAAACTTGAACTTCTTATCGATTTAAATTCTGCTTGCGAAGTAATATTAGTTGGTTGTATGTGCTACAGTCTAGAATTCCATCGTGGAATTAAGTATACAACTCACTAATTTAATTACTTAACAAAAAGAAGAAACAGTAAAGTCTTTCATTCGTTTCAATAGGTTGAAAGCGATTTCTTTTTCTTGATGTAACTCTAGATCAAACAGATTTAGATAATAGTAATTGCACAATAAAAAAAAGCTTCTGTACTGTTAATTCTTTACCAATACATTAAAAACGTTGTAAAATGAATATGCGTTAAGAAAATTAGTTGAAGTTTTCACTTCTTGCTTGATGGTTCAAGTCCTGTTTTAATTATGCACTAAGTTCACTATTTAATTGTACAAAACAGTTCAAATTTATACAATGGTCACGGTTGGGTGGCTTAAGCGAATCACTCTCTAATAAGAGAAACCATTAGTAGAAAGCAAGTATGATAAGGAAATCCGTTGCCACAAGTAACTATTTGTTATTTACTCGAGGGATAACAATAAATTCATTATGTCAATATAAACCGTCCTTATCGTTTAATAACGATTACTTATTACTGACAAAATATTTGGGTACTTGGAATTTACTCCAATAGGTTTCTATTATGTATCGATCAAAAGGTCAAGAAATTTTGATCCATGCTTATCCACCTTAAATAATAATTTTGCATTGTCTCCAGGATAAGAAGAATACATTAACCGCTTCCTTATCAGTTAAATACATTTAATAGGTTTAGTAATCTGAAGTTGCAGAGATTGATAAAGTTCAATGTTAAGTTCATTATCTGTCCCGAATTCTTTAGAAACGGCTTATAATATTCAAAGGCATTAGCGATTTGTTAGATTAACGACACAATAATAATAATCGATAGTTACTGGTGATAAATTTATTACCATCCAGGTATTTAAAAATCTCAAACTAATGACGAATTAAATGGAAAAGATCGGTTCAAAGAAAAATAAAAAATTGGTATTAACTAGTATTGAGATACAGAAACCTGACGAACTTTCAAATTTTATTTAGCAGAGCCGGGTCCATTAAAAAATATATATATATATATTTATTCACA